CACTCCCGAATATGCACAAAGACAGGTGGGGAAAACGCCTGCTAAATACAGAGCCCGGAGAATCGCTCGGGATTATCCTCTACAGGCACAATCCAAACCGGCGTAGGGGACAACTAGGACAAGGCCTACGGCGATACGCAAAAGGGTGGCGGAGGCGCCCAGGCCGTCCCGTCCAGAGATTTTAAGAGGAATTCCTTCGAGGCTTCGCCAAAGCGGGCGTCTGTAGCACGACCACACGGATTAGCTGCGACACAAGTTCACCTCCCAGCATCCTGCACGTCCGCCTTCTCGACCGTCACCGCCAGCGCTTCCGCCCCACCCTCCCCAACCGCGGCGGCTACTGCTTAGTTTCTTTTTTCACGCAGAAATGGCCGGTTTGGGTTGCCGACTCCAGGTTGTGCTGCGAATCCTCCATGGGCCGGGGGTTGCGGGAGTGGATTTTCTGGTGACAATTCAGCGACTCTTTGTAACGGAAGTGCTTCCCGCAGACGGGACACTGGTAGGGGGTCTCTCCGGTGTGAACCCGCCAGTGCTTGAGGAGGTGATCCCGCCGGATGAAGCTCTTCCCGCACTCGGTGCACTGGTACGGCCGTTCTCCGGTGTGGATACGCTGGTGGCGGATGGCTTTGGAGAGGTCTCGGAAGTCCTTCCCGCAGTAGGTGCACGTCAGCGGCCCGTCGCCCTTTCCCGTATGGAGCTTCTGGTGCAGGATAAGGCTCACCTCCAGGCTGAAGCTCTCCTTGCACTGGGAGCAGGTGTAGGGTCTCTCCACCATGTTGTTCACCTGGTGCCGGACAAAGCCGTACTTGAACCCGGGGCTCTTCTCCCCATCGGGACGCTTGGACGGTTTGGAGCGGGAAGGCCCTTGGCTTTTCGTAGGGGTCCCTTTGGATTTCTGCCTGAAGCTTTCTCCGTGCTCCAGGGAAGTGCAGGCTTCCTCGCTGGCATGCGCTTTCTGATGGCTGGCAAAGAGCTGCTTGTCCAGGAAGCTCTCCCCGCACTCACAGCAGATGTACGGCCCTTCTTCGGCACCCACGTCCTCGGGAGCGTCCTTCTTGGCCGAGTCTCTCCCGCGGCGAGCGGAGCGCCTCAGCCCGTTGCCCGTTGCGCTTCTCTGCTGCGGGGGCGATCCGCTACGGCTCTTGCTGCTTGGCTTGACCTCTTCCTCCGGGCTGGAGAAAACCTCTTCCCACTTGCCTGCCAACGAGCTTGGAAGCTCAAGGCTTTCGGCGCCCTCGTCGTCACACTGCTGTTCGTCTGGCAGGGCAGAGACACGCGTGTTATCGCCGCTGCGCTGAGGTAACAACGGCCTCGTTATAATGACTGAGACTTGCCAAACCGTTTGGGTTGGAAAAGACCTT